TGAACATCACTCCCACGCTATCAGCGCCAAACTGGCGTTAGTAGCGCGGGAGGTACGGGAAAATCTTTAACTTATCTCAGATTGTATAAGGAAGGAGATTGGACCAAGATTTACGATGAAGATTTAATCAAGATATCTGAGCAAGACACAAAGTCTATATATAGAGGCTTAGACTCCCTGAGACAGATATCTTTGGCTGGAGAGAATTATGAGACCAGGTAATTGAGAGAGTTCTCGGAGACTCACGCTGGAGAGCAGGATTCAGACGGAGTTGAAGACCGAAGACCATTGATCTTCCATCTCCTCCTTCTTCTTCTTCTTCTTCTTTTCTTTTCTTTTTCTTTCATAAACAATTTCTATTTTAATTTGTTTAAGCCAGCTATGTCTGGCTAATTTCTTTTTGTAGTTGGGATCACAGACCCGATGTGAATCCTTTATATTTTTCTATATTGTTTTTATAATTTAATTAGTTTGTTTGTTTGTTTTATTCTACCTGTGTTAATTTTTCCATATCCTGATTAGAATTAGCCACTCTAATTATAAGGATTTGAGGGTTAAGACTCACATTAGACATATTGGGGTTTTAGTCTGGACAAGAGTAGAATAACAATTATTGCATGACCTAGACATAGACTTACATAGATTGCAAACTTGTAATTCATTTGCTTTATGCTTAATTCAAGAGGAATTACTAAGACATTAGAATTCTAATTGGGTTAAAGGGTTGAAATCACTAAGACATTAGGGTTCAACTATTTTATAGGGAAATAATGAATTTTCTGAGCAAATCAATTAGTTAATTATAAAATATACAATATAGGAATATAAGGGAGGATTAGAGGAGAAGTGCATCCTGGCTACAGTCTTTTTACAAATTTCTCATCAATATTTTCTTAACGTTCTTGATACTTTTGCATGTGTTCAACTTTAATTGCTTTTAAATTTTCTGTTTTAAATTAAATTATTTTTAAATTCTATTTTGAAATTGCAAAATCAATTTCTTTCACAATACAAACAAATTTTCTTTTCCAACTTAAGGGGAATAGTTGAATTAATACTTGATGCATTAATCCTCGAGGGAACGATATCTTACTTATCACTTTATTACTTGAAACGAACGATATACTTACCGAATTCGCAACACATAGTATGAGATGGTGTTTCCTCATATGGGTATCTTGCAAGACGATGTTTCCTTGGGTAATGCATACATGTTGTACTCTCTAGCCAGTAGGATTCATCATTGCACACATTCGTTGATATACATATTCTGATGCATACATGATTTTTATACTATTTTACGCGTGAAATGAACCTGGGGGTGGATGAGCCCTCCAAGGACCCTTAGTTTGCTAAAATGATTATCTCACCCCGCGTTATGGGATTACCATTTCAGGTACAGTAGCTGATGGTGCTAAGCCATCGCACGACAAGAGGTTGGAGGAGAGATATTACCTGACATGATAGTCATGACTTTGACTGCTATTTTGATATGTACATGACATGTTGTTAGTTTGAGTTATATATGTCATGTCATTCTTTTGGAAAGCATAGGGGATGTCTATGTCATGTTGATAGTTTGTATATGTTATTAGTGATGTACGCACCAGTCTATGTTACTTATGTAATTACATCTCTTTTGTGTAGTTGATGCAATCATGTGAGTAACATTATGGACATTATTATTTTGAGACCTGTTGGTTATAAGATAGCCTAGGCCATAGATGGATGGGCAATATGATTTATGTATGTATGTTTAAGCCTAAATTATATTAAACTGTTAATCAGGTTAAAATTATCAGGGTGAAAATTACTCTCAGCGGTCCAAAATACAGGTGAAATGTTGTTCGTTCCATTTTGACCAAAGAGGCGATAAGTATTGCAATACATAAGAAAAAGGAAAAAAAAATATGTTTTTATACTAGGTCTAATTTAGTGATGTGTGAAAAGAGCTTCCGCGTTTAATTATTTAAACATGTTGCGCTTATTATCATATGTATATTAATACATCTGGTGCACACAGGATGTTACAATTAAGGATAAGTTATATTTATAAATTCTTACAAACTACACTATGTACATTAAGGATGTACTTCCCGAAGTACATAATGTAATTTTTAAACAAAAAAAAATTATAAACATAACTTTCCCCCTATTATTATACTTTTGAATATAACCAATAAAAAAGTACTTGTTTCATTTAAAAATAATATTATCATTTAATTAGATTTTATACAAAGATAAAAACAGTATTGAATATTTTTATTTTTACAAAATTATAAATTTATTTTTTATAGTATTTTTTCATTCCATTAATTTCTTTTGATTTCATTTAGTAAAAATATTTATAAAATGATAAATGTTTTTGGTTTTTTTAAAATAAATTTAAATTATGAAAAAGTAAAAATTATGTCAAAACAAAAAAGTATTTAAAAAAACGACGTTTTATTTTATTTGTTTTCAGATTTATTCCTAAGAGAAGTTTTTTTTTTTTTTTTTGTATACCAAGGAAATAGAAGTTTTTTTTTAATTGTGCGTTATTTGAATATTTTACTTATTTGTTTTATTGTAGATCATTTTTGGCTTATCAAGGTCAATTGGTAGGAAAATAATGATATATGTCAAAACAAAAAAGTATTTAAAAAACGACGTTTTATTTTATTTGCTTTCAGATATATTCATAAGACAAGTTTTTTTTTCTCTCTCTTTTTTTTTTTGGAGTTACTCAACCCTAATTATCTCTTTGAGACGAGTTTGCTCCCTCCGGTATCCCCACGAGCTTCGACTCTTTGAGCCGGCTATGAGACTAATCCGGAGTGCGGGGGAACAGTGATGGCTAAAGGTTCAGCCCCTTCCCCAAGAATGCATTCAGCGGGAATCGAACACATATCCAACCCCACTAACTCAGCGCCAAGTTACCAACTGAGCTGCACCCATTGGGTTTCTCTCTCTCTTTCAATTGGTAGAAAAATAATGATATATTAAAAAAGGGAGAGTTATACTATTATCTCTTTTTCTTACTACCTCTTACTATTAAATCTTAATCGTTGATTTTCGCTAATCTAACGGTATAACTTATTAAAAGTTAATAATTAATTAATAAGTATGACCCAATAAATTATAACAGTTAGATTGACAGAAATCAACGGTTAAGATTTAGTAGTAAAAGGTAGTAAAAAAAAAGTTACTAACTATAATCTCCCCCATTAAAAATCTTCACAAGTTTTACAACTCTGGTCACCGTTAGGTTTAATTTTCTTTACTCTTTCTCCCATTTTTTTCCTACGGTTCCGTTATAATCATTTACCTTTATTTATTTTTTCTCTCTCTATCAATTTTTTCCCCTTATATACAAGAATTGAAATTGCTCCCATTAAATAAGTTTATGTGCTTGCAGAAACAAGCAACATTTCTCTTTGTAGAAAACCTACTCAATGCACTGCCTTCGCAACACGTGGTTCTTTAAGATATGGCTTCCTTATTAATATTTGTGTTTCTTTCTTTCTATTTTTTGGGTTAATTTTTGCTTTCTAAAATAGTCATGAGCTGTTCATATTGTCCGTGATATTATTGCGTTTATAATATTTGTAGAGGGAGATACTATCCAGATAAAATAAAACTGAAAAAAGTAATTTCACAAAAAGAGAAGTAAATATGTATCGAGGTTAACCTTATATATGCAAAACAATTGAGTGATTTATACATATTCATATATAATTTGAAATGCAAAAAGAGGTTGTAAGTAATTAATACGGATAATTAATTAATTTCAAAATTACAGCATACAAATAATAAAAAATATTTTTAATTAAAAATTAAAACTTAATTTATAATATATTATTTAATTTACATATTATAACATTTTCAATTGATACATATTTTTTAATTTTAGAATCATAATTTTTAATAAATATTTTATTTTATTTTATTTTTTCTAGTCAACGAATACATCCTATATATTAAATAAATAAAAAAATTAACTAAAAATTAATAATAATCATTATTGACAAAGTAATAAATTCGTATTTTCTTTTTTATTTAAACTAATCACTTCTATTTTTTTATTTAATGAATAAAATTATAAAGGGCTAGAATATCAATAAATTTAATTTATTTTAAAAAGAATTATGAATATTTTTATCACAAATAAGATATAAAACTTATTAACCGCAAAGGTGTTAAAGTTAATACTTTATACAACTTTCTTTAATGTTCACCAAAACGATGTCTGTTTTGAGATTAAAAAATTAAAAAATTAGAATGATAAAGACTATTATAACCTTGAAATAAATTAAAATTATAAATACACCATAAATTCTGTCCTAGAATGATATTAATTATATTGGTAAAATATAGACAAAATTATTTAAAGTATAAAAATGAATATAATTTGATAGGCTTAAAACAAAGTTATCTCTGTATTATAAACTACGTAACGAGTTAATGAAAGAGAGAAGGCTTCTGTAGAAAAAATCTTAATCAAGCCCATAAACACATGGGAAGAGGAAGCATTAATGGCTGTCACACAGAGCCTCAGGTACCAAATTTATTTGCCGAACTCGATGGCACCTGAACATTAATTAAATAATGAAATGCAATAGTAAACAAGTGGAAGTCCAAACTTGAGGCGGCATTTATGCTACCTAGCAATACTTGTGCTGATGAGGCAATTGCTCAGACACTACTCACGTAAATGAAGCACTTTTAACTCTTCCATGGAACAACAAAAGCTCGAGCAATCCTGTGACTAAGTATGACCAATCTTGTTATGCATCCTCTTTCATGTGACCTCCTCTTATCACACTCTCCCCTTGCCTGTGAACTGCTTCAATTCCATGATATCTCTTTTCCAAACACCCCCCTTATTGTTTATGCGTATATATACTACGTACACCACCCTTTGCCATTCACTAGCTAGTCAAGTTTATCTCTTCACATATCTCAAAACTAACAACAACATCCCAAAACACTGAGAAATTGAGAGAAAGACACCATATATAATGAGGAGGAGCTATGTTTATGCTGCTTCAATTGCCCTTCTTTTGCTTTATGTTCCAGTCATCATCTCCGCAAGGCACATAACCCGGTCACATTCGCGTAAGTTTCCAATTCATTGATTTAATTATAGGTTCGTTTTTCTGCGTTCAGATAAGTTATCTGTAGTAAGTCCAATAAGATGTCGTTTTGGGTAGAAATTATGGTGTTTTTGTAATTTTAATTTATTTCAAGATTATTATAATCTTTATAATTTTAATTTTCTCATCTTTCAATCCCAAAACGACGTCGTTTTAGAAATAAATGCAGACAACTTATCTGCGTTAACTGCATAAATATTTTTCAGTTTAATTATATTATATAGTTGGAAATCATAATATATATATATATATAGGCTAAATCTTTTCTTATGTTACAGGCAATTTTTTGTCTCATGCCATAGAAACAATGTTCTGGTGGGTCCCACCATTTTTTTGAAAACATAAAAAAAAGTTAAAGAAAAAAAAAACTATTGTGAGGTGACAGGAGATGATTTTTCTTCAATGACAGAAGAAAATCATCTCCCATATATATATATATGGAAAAAATGTGTGCCATTTTAAAGGATGTAAAGTTGTGTCATTTTAAAATAGAAAAAAAATAGATAAATGAAGAGAGAGAGAGTTGAAAAAAAAAGTAAAGGTGTGGGTCCCACCTCTTTATGAGAGTAAAATGATATAAGTTGTGTCATTTAAAAGGATAAATATTTTTTTCTATATATATATATCATCAAAATAAATAAATAATGGGGACTACATAAATTGTCTATTTATATTAATTTAAGGAAAATATTACTCTCATTTGATATAAGATAATTTCTCTCCTACTCTCTCACTTCGATTTTCTCATCTCATCTTTTTTTTTTTCTTGTAACTGTGGGACTTACTCATTTTCTATCTACAACATAAGATAACTATGTTACGTAAAAGGAGAATAATAAAACCTTTAATTTAATGTGTGAAATGTGGTTGTGGTGATTTTTATGTCAAGTAGGACATGGCCATAAAGATCCTGCAGGGGAAAATACAAAAGAACATGGAAGTGAATTGGGAAAACAACGGGTGTATTGGGAAGGAAGAGTAACAACAAAACGTATGCGAGGGGCAGACACACTGCAAGTAGCAGGGTCAAGGTTACCAGATTGCTCTCATGCTTGTGGGTCATGTTCTCCATGCAGGTTGGTGATGGTGAGCTTCGTTTGTGCATCCCTTGCTGAGGCTGAGTCATGTCCTATGGCTTACAAGTGCATGTGCCATAACAAGTCCTATCCTGTTCCATAGAATAAAATAGAATACACTCTAGATCTCAATTTTCATGCTTCAATATCTAACCCCGTGTAACATATATATATAGTGCCCATTTTCCTGGCTTTTTAAAATTGCTTTTCTTTTTCTCTGTTGTTCAACATGGTTAACACGGATTACTGGCTGTAAACATGGTTTTTGGCACGGTGGAAAAGTATTGTCTAGTTCTTGTTAAGATAGTAGGTTTGTGAATCCTATATTTTATTCAACACGGAAAAAATCACTGCGACTACTCTATAAGAAGTTAAGAACCGCGGTACGCAACAATCATGAGAGAATAATACTGAAATTTTATACAAAATTATATCCATAGACCCAAAAGAAGGGAAAATTCTTGAGCAAGTAGAACTGTCACAGCCAATTTCTGAATTTAAAGACGTGACGGGAGGCACAAGGTGTCTGTAATGGGATTCGAATGCATATAAAAACTTTATGTCTCACCTCTATTTTTTCGTTGGATTAATTAAGGATTGAAAATTTTATTTCCTATACACACATAAAAGTATGTGAAGTTTATATTATCTTTTTCTCTCTATTCTTTTTATATGATCTCACATGTGTCCTATATATTTTTATGTATATATATAGGTAGGGTGTAAATGGACCAGGATAGGCCGGGCTTTGACCTTCCTGGCCTAAGTCTACGTAAAAAAATATTCAGTCTATTTGGTCTTTTGGTCTATTAAAGGCTTTGTTTATAGGTCAGACCTGACTTATTTTTAAAAATAGAAAGCCTTATATGGCCTACAAGCCTTGTAAGCCTCCCACTGCAGATACTGAGCAATGAAAATAATTGTATAGAGAAAAGAAAGTTTCATTCATGCATGCACTAATACTTCTCATAAGAAATAAAAAATGACAAACAAGAGTCAACATAATACATCAGCTCTATAATGTATATCAGAGGGGAATTAGAGTCAAAGAAATGGAAAAAAAATACAATTACTGGGTCAACCAAAGACGAAACTTAGAGACGAGAGTGAGAAGTCACTTAGAAGCGGTGGTGCATAAAAGAAATTAGGGTTGATACTTTGCCACCTAGAATAAATATATTATTTTATTTTATTTTAAAAAATTAAATAAGTCAGCCTACAAGGCTTTAGACCAGACTTGATAAAGTTGGCTTATGGCCTATTTGTTAAAAAGATTTTTTTGTAAGTCTAAGCCTACCCTACTTCTTAGAAAGATTAGGCTAGATCAGGTTCAACATAGGTCGGGTTGTAGGTCAGGTCAGGCTAGCCTGGCCCATTTAGACCTTAGGAAATAAAATTTATTTCCTACTGCATGAGAAACAATCATCTCTTCTAATTATTGTACCTATCTTGAGGATAATAGACATCAATCTATTACATTTCATCGATCCATTTGTATTGGAACCCATGATCATATTCAATGAAGGACTTGGTTCAGAATCAGGATAGTAGTCCAGCAAACCTTTGGGCTTGGGAAAAATATATTATGCTACCACGTAAAGGAAATTTTTACGGTAGACTTGATCAATTGGGCCGTGGATTCCACAATAACGGGCCCATTCAACTGCTTCTGGGACCAATGACAACAATGAAGCCCAAAATTGACGCTGCATATCAGAATCTGAGCCTTGTACTGTGGAGGACTATATGGCCCATGTATAAATGCCCATCATGCCCTGGTGCGTTTATCGCTTAATATTGTACCCTAGCTTGTGTATGCGAAAGTCTGCTACAAACTTTTTGGAACTAGGAATTGTAACACGAAATCTTTTATAGCTTCTCATTACTCAGCATGATGCATAATGAGCTTGACGAAAACTGATTAATATGCTTAGTGATTGCGCAAAAGGCTTTTTACATATGATGAGAATGTGAACACAAACATCATGGTTGATTCGATTCATCAACAAAAAAGAACAGTGCACTTTTTGGACACGGTAGTTTTTAGGGTATGAGACTGAGACCACTACAAATATATCATCATGGCATGGCACACAAAGCAAGTGGATTAAAAAAGACACACGTACACACAACACAAAAGAAATTTTTCTTGAATACGTGGGGACTGCTTTACTTGCTGTATAAGCATTAAGATGTCACAATATCTATTCATTCAGGTCGTAGCATGCTTTTACTTTATTTTTGTCCTTGTATTCCTCAGTTATGAAATTGTAACATCATGGCCGAACGGAAAAGTAGAAAGTGGTTATTTTGAACTTTGAACTTCCAATTACATTGGAAGTGAGGAACAACGTTTGTGTTATCTTATCAACATCTATGGTCTCTGTCCTCTTTTTGCTTCTTAACTACATAAATTTGGAATTCTCTTTTATCTGAATTATTACGCACACCTATGGAGGCTGGAACTACATTTAAGTGCGTTTCTAAATCCATATGAAATTATTCAGGAACAAAAATAAAATAAAATTAAGATTAAATTATTTTGTAGGTCATTTTTATTTTATTGTTTGAAAAAGAGAGAGTTTATATATCGTTCAACAATTATAAATTAACCCCTGCAGTTACAAAAACATCTCTAATGGAGTCTCTAAATCCAATCGATTGTTAGGTCCGTCCACAAGAACCAATTAAATTTCAAAAAATACAATAATCTACAAGTTAATTAAACCAAATAATAATAAGTTTATAGATTGCAAGAGTTTAAAAGTTTAAACTTCCATGCTACTAGTATACCCCCAAAAATGTGAAACCAACTTTCAAATGATAGCTTTTTTCTTCTCAATTTTTATGTTGTACTAAAAATATTTAATATTTTAGAAAAATAAAATAAAATAGAATGACTTTAAGTTTTACATAACTTCCCAATTACATAAATTTTTTTATATAAGGATATCTTAACTTAGTAACTAGGTGCGATTATGTTTGTAAGATTAGTCCTATTGAAATACCCGTTGAATATGTGATTTGAGAAAAACTAATTAATCTGATTAAGAAAGCATTACAAAAAGAGTAATTTTTCCATAAAGTTTAAGAAAATCAAATCTAAACATGCACTATATTTATAAATTATAATAACTTTCGCTCATAAACTTATCCAACAAATAACACTACCAAAAAAAAGAAAGAAAAATGGCCAATGAGTAAATGAAAAGCAAGATATTACGTTAGGATGACTTCAACACGCACAATTTTTTTTTTCTTCTTAAAAACAAATATGGAATTGAAATAAGAAGATAAGATTTTCTAACGGCATTATGGAACGGGGCCCAATTTCTTGTTAGGTTTCGGAGTTGTTGTTTGCCTCGCCCACTAAAGGTCGAAGAGTTATCTTCTGCCGAAAGCCCACAAGAGACCAACAATCCAACATTATAGTGCCATATATTATTAATTATTAGGGTAATATTTCTCTCATTTAATATGAGAGAAGTTTTTTTCCTACACTAACAAGAAATGTCTAGCCCACAAATTAAAGAAAAAAAATTGCAGGCACGTCTTTTTATATATCAGTGACATGAGATAGTTATCTCCTGCAGTTGAAGAAAATAATTTCCCTAATTATTATTAGAAAAATAGTACTCTCCTTTCACATAAGATAATTCTTTCATGTTCTCTTATTTTGATTTTCGCACCCCATCTTTTCTTTTTTTCTTTTTTCTTGTAATGGTGGAATCCACCCATTTTATCTCTACAACATAAGATAACTATCTTATGTAAAAGGAGACTAATAAAGCCCTTATTATTATCCCATGAATGATGAACATAACACAATGTATTAATTAATTTTATAGTTTAAGGGTGCATTTTGATATATCTTTTCTAAAAAATATTTTTGTTATAATATCTTTTTAGTTTTTTTTTTAGTAATTGTTTTTTAAATTTTCTAAAAAAATACTAAAACAGAAGTATTTTCTTTAAAAAAAAAAAATAGCAACAAATGGGTCCTGAAACTTTCATATACTAAATTGTCAACAAATTTTGTGTGCTGTGACATTTGACACTACTTTGTGATCCCATCCCAATTAAGGTTATGACAAGTCGAAATCCCAATTAAGGTATTGACTTGGAGGATCATAACCCCTCATGTGTGTGTCAGTGACAACAAAGATGATGGCTTTGTTGGTGGTTTCATTTCATACTCTACTTTCATCAGCTGAGCTGCTTCCCTTCTCTTACACATTCATTGCTTCGTCACATTAACATTTTTTTGGGGTCACATGTCACATTAACATTTATTGTAGGCGGTTTGGTATCAATTTTGGAATCAATATATTGACGACCCATTTCTTAATAAAATTTTCAAATTGGACCTTCCTTTTCGTTAATATCTAAGTGGATAACAACCCTGTGGTTTGCACTAAAAATGGTGGGTTTCTCCACTAATGTCAATAAAAGAATAAAACTAAATTAAGGTTCATCAATGGCTTCCTGTTAGGTGTTATTAATTTGGTAATATAACATTTATAAATGACATAGAAGTTAAGTTATACATTTTTTATATTTAAAATAAGAGATTTCTTTTAGAATGCATAAATGTGTGAATAATAAAACTTACAATAATAGGTGAATAACCTTGACTCTGCAATTCAAAGAAAAACATTTTAAAAACAATCAGTAATTATAATAAAAAATATTAATAAATTTTCAAATTAGACATATGGAAATAAAACATCTTCCTGAAATAAATTAAAACATGAAAAGCTCAGAAATAATTCTCCTAAAAAAATAATCAAATGCATACTAATACCTGCTTTGTTTTGGAATTACTAATGAATTATAAATTAGCTTTGGATTTCATGTATCCCCAAAATCTTCGGTTATATTTACAAATTTTTTGTTTATAAACTTTTACAAATTATACTATATATTTCGGGGGTACACATGAGTACAAATATTTAGATGTGTACTCTGCAAAGTATATAGTATAATTTGTAAAAAATTTAAATAAAAAATTTATGAATATAACCCTGTTCATAAAACAATTATTATTTAAGAAAGGAAAAAGGACTTAAACATCACTTTCAACGCTATTAGAAAATAGAAAAGAATCTCCCCGGGAATTTTGCTATTGTATTTAGCTGATTTTTCTTTGGTTTGTAATTCTCGTAGAGTGTTTCTGAACTGGGTTTGTGTTTGGAATCTTTAGCCTCTTCTTATTTACCAAAAAAAGAAAAAAAAAAAAAGAAAAAAAAAAGGATCTGATTTGCAGCGTCCGTCATTGTTTTTGGCCATGTTTGCCACTCTTCATTTTAGCTGCATCACATCCAAATTCTAGAATGGGGCTTGTGGCCACCATAATATATATTAAAACCTATAGGATTGAATCTTCGATAGCTAGATGTAAGTCGATGGGGCTTGTGGCCACCATGATATATAATTATCATTAATTCTCAACCAAATCTCTCCAATTATAGATCCACAAATTATATCACATTATTCATTTCACAAATTGATTAAATTGATTTTTGTTGCTAAACAAATAGCTCGCTTGATCATGAACCATCAATATTCATTCTGCTAAAAGTGCTTTCTGTCCCATTTAAAAAAAAAAAAAAAAAGTTCTTTCTGTCTTCTTCTTTTTCTTTTTTAATTTATTTTTGTTGGAATTCTTATACAATTTAAATGTTACTTATGAATAATAAGTAAGGTGTGAAGAGATATATTTTTTTACTATTGAATAGACATAACTATTATTGACAAATAGACATGATTGTTCACCGCCGGAAGACACGATTTTTCATCGCCAATAGATATTATTCATCATGGTCAGTCATGATTTATAAATATGAAAGGAAATCATTGAATTGTTTTTTCTCCAATATTGAAATTATGCCAAAACGCTTTTTGAAATCTTGTATTCATTCTGTATGGTAGTTCAAATATAGGCTGCATTCGCAGATGCTGTTTGTTTGAGAGTGCCATCAACAATCAGAGATAATTTGTTCTATATTAAGAGATAACTATCCGTAAATCTTAGATACCATAAAGAGGACAAAATTGTCTTAAGGACTTAATATTTAATATTAGGCTCAATTTTTGTTCTGTTGCATTCTTATATTTTCGTACGGAATGTTTTTAACTTTGTGTTATTGCATATTTCAATTTCTTGTGTATATTTCATGAAATTATATGTATTGTTAAATAAATTTTTCTAAAACAGATTTTTTCCTCTCAATGATTTTAACATCACTTCTCTAACAATTTTTTGGTAAATGCAAAAAGAATCTTAGTTGATTCATTCGTTGAAGTGTCGCCTATTGATTTTGATATTTTTATTTTGAAAAAATCATAATGGAGATTAGTGTATTATAGTAATATTAGTAAGTACACGTCAATTTTTATGCTTTGAAACGCATAAAAAAATATCTGGCAGGGCGCAAGATCTTCTAGTTGTCCTTTCTCTTTTAGAATGGGTAAAATGAAAGTGAATTTGTCAATTGATTCAAGAGGTAAAGAAACAAAAGAAAAATGAAGAAAACTCATAGTGACGCAATGTGGCCCCCCCGCTTTTTTTCTTTTTTTGTTTCTTCTGACTTCACAATAGCCCTTGCTAAAAACAACAGTCTTGCGTGGTATTCGTTGTTCGGACTATGTACCCAAATTTATATAACTTGCAAACGGCTTTATTTAAATCTTTTAAAGCAAGTTTAAATAGGTTCATAAAATTTGTGTGCATAATAATTCAAGTTTGAATATCTAAAAATCGTTCACTAAGAAGAAGTAACTAATTATGAACAGAGTAACATAATTTTAAGGAACCAAAACAGAGTATTACCTGAAAAATGAACAAAAACAAAACTTTCAAATATATGAAACTCAAGCCTTAGATTGCGTAACTGATTATGATTATGCCATGTAATCCCTTATTTAGAGGGGACAAAGACTTTTTGTTTTCTTTAGGGGTTAGATATTGCTAATTGAGAACCAAACATATATCCCTCACGTTTTAAGTAATACCCAACAATACTTGGACAACTATGTAGCACTGATACTGACACGGTACACGTGACACGACACGACACGATACTCCGACACGTTAATTCTAAAAAATGTTAGATTTCGACACGTTAGGACACGTTTTGATATTAAATAATATTTTTAATTTATGTAGTGTATATTATATTTAATATTCAATAATTTAACAAAAAATTAAACTAAACTTATAATATTCATCAATTTTGCAAAGAAACATAAGATATTCCAGATATTTATATTAAATTCAATAAAATGATAATAGTAATTTAACGAATCTAATAGTTGAAACTAAAAACTCAACGCAACACAACCTTTGAACCTTTTTTATAAATTTTTATAACGTGTGTTGGAGTGTCGGGGAGTGTCGGAGTGTCGGAAAGTGTCGGACACGACACATCAGAATTTTTGAAGTGTCGGTGTTTCATAGTTGAACAATATAAAGACTAATAATAAGAAGAAGAAAAAAAGGAGAGGGATTAATAATAATGGAACAACAATGAAACTGAATGTATAATATATTCATTAACATATATTCATTCTAAAGAATAAGAGTGTCCTAAAATAAGTTCAAGAATTAGCTCAAGGGATAATATAAATCCTAGGAAGAGCGGACATGGATAATTATCATGTTATTCGACTCGGAATTAATATCATTTTCATGGTAGTCCCTCCCTTGTTTGAATTGTGGGAATATCTGGACTTGTCTATAAAAAAAATAACCCAAAATTTATTTATTTTATGGTAGCCCCTCCCTTGTTTGAATTGTGGGAATATCTGGACTTGTCTATAAAAAAAAAAAACCCAAATTTTTTTTTATTTTTTTTTAATAAACACGTCTATTTAGGGGTAACCTCATCCATCTGTTATGACTGAGAGCATGAGTCACGGTAAAGATAAAACTTTCGATATCCAACAGCCGTAGGTATTTCCATGTTATAAAGAAAAAGCTTTTAAACTTAAAAGAACGGGTAAGGATATACTTACCACCAAAAAAGTTTATTACATTTACAATCAACTTAATAATCATTAATTTTCGTCAATTTAAAAGTTATAATTTATTAGAAATTAATAAATATGACTTAATAATTTTTAATAAATTATAACCGTTAGATTGTCGAAAATCAACGGTGATTTGATTGATTATAAAGATGATAAATTTTTTTAATGGTAAGTATATCTTTCGCCTTTACAAAAAAAAAAAAAAAAAAAAAATTTGGTACTCCCTAACATTAAAAAAATTTCCCACAATATGGAAGAACGCGGAGATAATCCAACATGCATTCCATCAGAACACACCAAGTCACCAACCGTCCATCCCTTTTTCATGAATCCGCCATAGTTGCATTCTTTCTTTTCCTTTTTCTTTTTCTTTATTAAATGAGTGCGCCCCATAACAAAAATAATCAAATATGCTTAACTATTGCAAACAATGGCCAATAGGCCATTGGAACTGTGAAGATGGCACAGAAAAGAAAATTGGGAAAATGTGCAAGCTGCTTCCATACCATTCATTAATAACCATTAATGGTAAAACAGCAAGTGATACACAATCCCTATATATATGTTCAAAGTTCTCTAGTCTCACCTCTGTCCCTATCTCTCACTGCATAAAAGTACCTCTTGAACAGAGGCTATTGAAAAGTGTCAATTCATCATTCCAACTTTTTGCTTGGAATCTCACGAGGGTTGGTCCTAAAATGCTCTCAAGGGTTATAAATATCAACAAGTACATATCCTCATTCCTCACACTCCCTCAAGAAAACAAAACAAAAAAACAAATGGTCCAAGAAAGTGCATAAAAACCAAATATATCCGAGAGAAAAGGAGGAATTTTTTTTTTTTTTAGCTATCAATTTGGTTTGCAAGTGCGAATTCTTTGTAGAGTAGTAGTGGATTAGTCCTTTTAGCCATGCCGAATGCCCATGAAGTAATTAAAGTCATGATGCTGGACCCTTAGTTGCTTTAACCATGAATCTGCCACGCTCAACAGTGACATTAACCTTTCTTGGTCTCTCCCTCGATTGCCTCCAACCCACACATTACCCCCTTGCAACTTGTACGTTGCCAAACCAAATGCTGGTAAGGATATGCCTTCCCCTTCCTTTTTCTTCATCTGTCCACCCTCAATATCATCATCAAGATCCATTCCTATACAATTACCAAAACAAGTTCCACCATTTTACATTTCTCTCAAAGTGAATTTTCAAGGAAAAGTGTGAGAGAGAGAGAGAGTACATAATCATAAGAAATACCTTGAAATGAAGATGAAAGTGTGTGGTAAGTGAGGAAGCATGTTGAAAGATCTTTAATTGTTCTTCCCATTGGGATATGATATATTGGGTACCTGAAAAAAAAAAAAAAGATGTTCGTTATTAATAAAGCATATCATAAGACCAATTCCAAATGGGTTTTAACCATTTGAACTATATTTTTGGTGACTAAGTTAGATAGAGAGGAAAAGAGAAAATAAATCATGTTTAAGAAGTAGGTATGGGTTGGATGAGAGAGAAAATTTAATTACCAAGCAACTGCCATCCAACTAGCTGGTGAAAGATCTACGCTTCTTAATGACATCAACCCTGGGTATCTTTGAGCTAACCCAGTAATCTGAAAGTGAAGAACCATCCCAGTAAGTCAACAATGGAATCTTTATACTTTTATACGTTAGTGGTTATCCTAGAGGAATTTTTTTAGTTGTTTTTATAACAATCACTGTAATTCGAACAATGAAAACAACATTCATTATGTGGTATCATCCAAACAGAAAAAGTTTTAGAAGAACATGTTCTAAACAAGCACAACATTAACATTGAAAAGAAATAAAGAAAAGGGAACATTTATAATTTAAATTTCCACAAGAACATATTCAGAGGAAAATGAGTCCCTACTCCCTAGAATCTAGATTCATATTGAAAAGTCAAAAGTTAAGACTAAGAGTTTATCTTTTATGGATGCCTACCATTAAAGGATTTTGGGTGATTGCTTTACCAATTTCTATACCAAATTAATTGGTTCCAATCTCATTAAGAACACGAAAAGTAGTAACATAGACATAGATGAACTACTATTGAAGGTAATAAACAACAGAAAAGATGCTGAAGTAAGATATGGCCTAACAAAAACAAGAAAAAGGCACCTTATCCATTAGAGGAACTCTCCCATATGGAGTTGATCTTTCAAAATACTGGCAATAAAGGTGACCCAATCTATCATTCAAATGCCAGAGACAATCTTGCTCAGATCCACCCTCTTCTGAGGAAGTTCCATCCCACCTCCATAACTTATCACACTCACTCTCCTCGCTATAAGAATCACTATAGGAATCCCTTGTCTCGCAGTCACCTGACTCAGTCTCTTCCCTGAAATACTCATTCAAATTTATGCATTCAGTGAATTATTCTACAACATAATTTACAAAACCACTTCCAAGTAAAACAAAAAAAGTTTCAACAACCCATAATTTCAAAAGCATAAATAATGTAACCCGCGTTAAAGTTTGACCATAAGAAACATTATCACCAAATGGTGTATTGAGTCAGCAAATACCAATAAAAATGATCCTTTCCCCAATCCCCAGTGGGGTTTCAATGTCAAAACGTCTTCTGTTTACGAGACATGTTGAGGACAGCAATGAAATCAAAAAGCTTTCAAGTTGGAAGTATGATGAAACATGATCATGAAAATTCAATTTGGTCAAAACAATAATGATTCAATCCCCACAACAGTAACAGATATTTTCATTGACATACCTGAAACTATTGCTAGTGAATATCTGAATAGCTGAGAGGTAAGGCACATAGTACTGCACAAGTGTCTCCCCACTGGTCAAGGTGATTGGAACCCCCGCTCCATAAGCACTCCATTCACCATAGCAATTCCAGAGATCACCCAAGGTGAAATATTCCACTCTTTCTCTCTCCCACGGATGCCACAAACGGTTCAGGTTGGTAATCTCGGACTGCAGAGAAAAACATTAAAAAAAACAAAAAACATTAATTTAGGACAAAATGTTCTATGATCATCACAAGGAAAATAAGGGACCAAAAAAAAAGGAAAGAAAAAGACAACACCTTGGAAAGAAACTGAGATTGAACAACCGGGGTGGTACACCGTACGAAGCAATCAAGGTTAGAATGCATTGACCCTTTATCATAAATCATCATGGCTTCGGAAAGAGATAGAAAAAACAGAGAGAGAAGGGAGGGAAGAGGGAGTTCTCAGCTTCTCTTCCTACCCTGAAACAGAGGAACCCCAGAAAGGGAAGAAAACAAAACAAAAAATAAAAAAAAATAAAAATAAAAGAAAAGAGAGAGAAAGAGAATGTTAACAGATATTGTGGGGATTGTTTGTGATTTTCTCTTTCAAAGGATGAGAAAGAGGATTGAAATGCCACCCCCCAAACAACAATAAAGACCTCTATTTTTTGACGTTTGGACACCGAAATTCCCGCAAATCTTACTCCTTTTTTTCCTCTCTTTTTTCTCTCCTCAATCTCTCTTTGTTTTCACGCAGGCAATGTGGCAAATTCAACACTCTGCTTATCTACCTATACCTTAAACAGGAGCTAGAGATTCTTATGCAAATAATGGCAACTTTTTTTTCCCCTCTCTCTCTCTCTCTCTCTCTCTCTCTCTCTCTCTCTCTCTCTCTCTCTCTCTGTGTGTCGCTATTAAACTAAGCCTTGAAGAAAACTTAATCCAAGTATGCTTTGTTCAACGTTTAAGAAACATATATGAGAGCCATAACAATAACACGTTGACGCTTCAACCTTAAAAACTTGTGACTAAATCAAACAAACCAAGCAAGGCCAGGTAGTCACGCGAAAAATTGAAAGAAGGGACAATCAGGCACAGACACGGTGCCAAAAGGATATCTGAAGAATGAATCATCGACCTTGCAAGTTTTCAATAGATTAGTCTCAGCAAAAGCGTTAAAAAGATGATTGTTTTTAACTGAAAAACTGAACACTTTACCGGGAAAGGGGAAAAGAAAAGAAAAAGAAAAAACTGAAGAAAACAAAATGTATTAGAAATATTCAAACCAAACAGAAACAAGAGAAGGGAACTGCAAATAATGATGAAGTGATAACTGAGAATGAGGAGATAGATGGAGGGGTTATGGATTGGATACACAAAACATAATTTATATAACATTTATGAGATTCATCTGTCTCTCCCAATAGTCTCAGACTATGAAATACTTTACACCTAATATTTATTTATATAATATAATATGTTTCCTTTCTTTCTTTTTCTTTTTTCGTTATTTTTTAAGTTTTATTATAGGACGAGGTTTGTTACTAAACCACAAACCCGTAGCTATCATCTTTGAAACTTCGTTGGTTTCGTTCATAGTTTTAAATTTAACAGCTAATACTCATTTTTTAGAGAAACAAAGTGGGCTTTTCTATTTCATAAAAAAATTAAAATATATAGCAGATTCTATTTTTTAACCTTTTCTATGTTGAAATAGAAAAGTATGACCCACGAGAGAGAGAGAGAGAGGGTATGAGTGTGGAAAAAGAAAACAAGAAATGGTATGGGAATTGACTGCTCTATGTTTTGCTAAAAAATTTACATAATTACAAGGGAAATGCATTTCACCTTCGAAAGTATAAGACATTTTTTACGGCAACCAAAAATAATTATATTTTATTGGTAAGATATAGAAAATAAATTATTCTATCTATTTTTTTTTCTGATTATCTTTGTTTATCACTCTTCAATATCGTTTGATCAGAATCTAAAGAGGAGAAAGAAAGATAAATATTAATTAAGATTCTGATTTAATGATCTTTTAGAGTGGTAGGCAATTAGGGGTGCTAAACGAATCAGGGCCTTTGGCTCGGCTCGTGAAAGCCTAAGCTTATATGTCTAAGATTGGTTGTTGACACCATACTTGAACTTATATAAAAGCTCGTTAAATAAAAAGGTCTAAGGCTCCAATTCAAAAGCTCGACCTTAGAGCCTTTCAGGCTGGCCTAGTATATATTTTTTTTATTGTATATTATTTATACTACTTGTAATAGTCCTCTTTTTCTTCTCAATCCATTTCACCCTATTTTATTGGTTAAACAGATTTTTTGAATGATTTTGTTATATATTATGTTGTTTGGATATACAGTGAATTTATGGATATTTATGGAATTACTAGTGTTGTTGATTGTATATTCTGTTTGGATAAATTTTGTTGTTTTATTTTTTAAAAACAGGCTATACCAGACTTTTATTTTTTGTAAATAAGTCAGGCCACAGGCCGATAATTATATTTATAACAGGTAACAAGCTTGGTCAGACTGACACATTTAAAGAAAGGCTTAGCTTTTTAAGACCAAAGCTCGGTTCGGCCCGTTAACACCCCTATAGACAATGGTAGGTAGAAAAAAAATATAGGTAGAATAACATATTCCAAGATATAGTTATAATTTTAAAAGTTATTTTTTTCTCCTCAAAAGATTGTCAGCTGACATGGCGGAGAAAAAAAAACTTTAATATTACAACCAAGGTTGTTAAATCGCAACACATATCGTGTATCATTTGACAAATTTTTTGTATCACATATCGTGAATCGTATCTATTATGTCCTAGAGAACCGTATTGCTATACCGTATGGTATGTGTTCAGAGATACCCTAGATATAGGTATCCAGATTGGCTTATAATCAATACTTCAATCACTGCACATAAGCAATGGACTTATAGCCAAGACGTGGGTGTGTGCACAGTGTTGGCAGCAATAGTAAATAGGTTAAAAGTGTGTACCTGGAGTCTTTAACCTCTTATTTATAAGGGTTACCTCTTGGGCTTGTGTAGATCTTCCAGTTGTAGTAGGATTCAACTTCCTTTCTGTTAGGATAGGAACTCTATCCTTAGCAGCCTTACTATTTTATATTGTTAGGATAATTGAGTAATTATCCTTTAATGGATTCTTAGGAAGGTAATTAGAATATGGTATATATCCATAACAGTATCGAATCGTGTGAGATATAGAAATATAATAAAAAATAATTTAAAAATATATAATATAATTACTATTAGAGGAAGGTTATACTTACAACTTTTTTTTTACAACCTCTTACAACCATATATCATAACCGTTGATTTCCGCCAATCAACGGTTGTAACTATAACTTCTCCCTTAATATTATATAAATCAAAATTCCAAAAAGGAACAAAAATATTAAGTAATTAAAATGTAAACCAGTTATTCTAATACTCGTCAATCATTAAGATTAATATTATTACTACTATCACTGTAAGCATCTATCGGTGACATAATTAATCCATCATCCTCTTCCAAAAAGGATCCTTTTAGGTTTTTTTTTTAATTTAAATCCCAAATCAAACTTTTATTTCTTTTTTTTTATATTAAAAATTATAAATTTTGATTTAATTTTTGTATCGGATGATACACGTATCATATCGTATCGTAAGATACAGTATCGTATCGTTCGATACAAACTCCTTTCCGATACACCCCACGATACGTATCGTTGAGCTTGTGAATCGTATCGTATATCATAAGATACTGATAATTATGATTACAACTATATTTTATCGATTAAGCATAACTGTTTTTTATTACAAAAAATATCAAGTTGGGGACCCTAATTACAATTACGCCAGATATAAACTTAGGAAAATAAGTTTGTTATGTTATAGGAATGAATTTTTGGTCCTACAACCATATTATTTCAACTATGTACTCCGAGGAGTACATTGTTAAAATATTAAAGTTGCTAACATGGAGAAAAGAGAAAAAATAGCTTTAATTTTTTAACAATATACTCTCAAAAGTACATAATTAAAAATCATTACGGAACGAAGAACATCCGATGTACCCATAAACTTAAGGCCGTTTAGTTTGCTCAATTAAATAAAAAAATGTTGAAACTGCCAAGCTTAAGGGCTTAAGGTACTCTCTTTTTCTGTCTCTCTATATATTTTTTAATATTTATAATTAAACCTGATTGGATTGAAGGTTTTAATGCGAAAACGTAACTTGCTTAATTTATTCGTTAACTTCAATGAAAGTGTTATGTAACTCCCAAGGGAGTTCTTAAAACTACAATGAAGTTTAAATGCAAATCAATTATAATTAGGTGTAACTTATAAAAATGTACCACATAATCGTAGCTCAATTGATGTCAGGGAATTGAGCATATGGAAATGATAGTATCTGTTCGATCTTTCTCAATATTATTTTTTAGAGAGATTTAAAGCCTTAATCCCGAGACCCGCTTCGAATCAGACAAGTCGTAAAATGATGAATCGATTCGAATATCTCAAAAAAAAAAAATATCAAAAGCTTATAAATGTCCTAGAGTTTAATCTCACTTGTTGTTGATACCTTTTATGATAAAAAGATACTATTTTCATTCAAGAATTATTGGTCTAGTGGGACCAATTTAGATTTCAATAATGATTTACCCGAACTGTAGTGTGTTGATTCATGAGAATTACAACTCTCGAGAAATGTGGAGAGGCTCAAACTTGACACCAAATTAATAACTATTGGTATTTACAAAAAAAAAAAAAAAAAAAAAAACTATTTTAAACTATAATAGTTCTTTTTTCAGTTATTGTTATGAAATTCCAAGATCTTTATTCGGTCTCAAAGAGAGCATGGTGGTTGGGATCGACATAAACAAAGGGGTTTACGTAGGATCCTTTAAGGTTTCGTTAATGAAAAAAAAGGTCGGGAAGGAGTATTGATGTGCCTTCAGCATATAAATATTTCAGCGTAAAAAGAATAAGAATTTGATAGTAATTCAGTGATAAATAGCATGATTTTAGGGAATTGTTGACAATTTATCTTCAGGCACACTTTCACTCTGATTTTATATTTTTATAGGAGGAAAGCATGGAAAAATGACTGTTACAAACAACACTCCACGACCTTTCATGGCGTGAGAACTCAGGAAGAAAAACAACTTGAAGCTTTTAGCGTGGATTTCATGCAAATGGCGTGAAAGTGAAGAACCCACTGCATTCCCACGCTAGTTGCGCCAAGTTGACGCCATTAGCGTCGACTACAAGCTAATGGCGCCAACTCTTGCCAAAATACACGCCAAGTCGCGCCATTAAGAGAAAGCCCCTGACGTTTCACGGTAATAGCGTGGTTTTGACGCTATTAGCGCCAAACAAAGCAATCCTAATTAATCGCCCGCGCGGATAGCGTGGAATTGGCGCGGATGGCGTCGGTCTTCGTAATTTCAACTCCGTGATTGCTGGAAATTGTTAAAAATAGAAGGAGAATCAAATCTTTGACAAGATTATGACCTGATTGTATTATTGCTTATAAAAGGAAGTCATAAACCAAAGTAAAAGGAACTTTTGCACAGAGAGAGATTGACGGAGGCAGAACGCAGAGCAAGCTTCTTCTCCAATTTTCTGGTTTTTATTTATTTATGAATTTTTTTCAATACTTTGAATTGTCAGACATGAATATGTCTGGCTAGTCTTTTTATTATTGTGGTAAGGGTCACAACCCTTGATGTGAACCCCTTGTAGTTTGGTTAAATTTATATTTAATTATTTCAATTGCATTTATTTTATCATGTTCTTCATCGATAATTCTTTTAGAATTGATCACTCTATTAGGATTGCGAGGGTTAGGGTTTTCAATAGGAATATTGGGATTCTAGTTCCTGACAAAGGGTAAAATAACAGTTCATGTATGCACTAGGGATAGGCTACATGAACTGCAAACGTGAAAAATTCACTGGGTTAAAGGATTAACTTGAAAAAGGATTTCTAAGGGATTAGGTTTCTAATAGGGTTAATAAAGTTAAGATCACTAAGGTATTAGGGCTTAACTAATTAATTAATAGATGGTGAATTGTTTGATCAATTGGGTAATTAAATGTAAACATTAATTAATATTACAAGGTGGGGATCGGAAAGGTGTTGGCGTCTTTTAATGCAATAGTTTTTTAAATATTTTTCTCAACTTTAATCTTTTATTTTCAAGTTCTCAAAATCATCTTTGAATTGTTCACATGTCTTGAAAAATTCTCAATTTTTACAATCACAAATATTCTCAAAATTAATTTTATTAATCCAACAAGAAAGGAATAGTTAAAATAATTTTGGTATCTCA